TCTTCTTCTTATCATAGCATACCAACCAGCGAACACCCAGCCAAGTTTAGTTAGCCAGTTTGAGTATTCGTTACAGATAGTACCTAATTACGTGTATAAACCTATCTTATTTTTATGTCGTTCCGACATATAAAAGCAGCGCTACGTAGGCGTAAAGAGCTATATATATGCAGGTAAGGCTCAAGGGCGTATGCGGCTCTTGGCGCCGGCTCCCTGTGTAGCTAAGTATAGCTTAGTAGTAATACGAGGTGATACGAGTTCTGGCCCACACGACGCCTGTAAGAGTCTCCCTAGAGACTCTTATACTAAGATTATAATATAACCTAGCTAGAATTAAGTAGTATATAAATTAATTCTATACTCTTACCTAGTAGCTTTTATATATATTCTTCTAAGTAGATTATTAGTTATTAGTTATTAAGTAAGTTATTAGTTATTAATTATTAGTTATAGACTAGTAGCTTTATTTAGTTATTTAATTAAGTTTATTCTATATAAGTTACTATATAAAACTTTATTATACTAAACGTATTATATAATTAAGATAATTATATTAGTATACCTAGGTAATATAAAGTAACGGGTAATAATTCTTCTAAGCTCGCTCTTTATACAACTGTTTTACTTATATAGCGCTTATAGAATAATCTTATTCTAACAGAGGTATATATAGAGTAACAACTACGTCTCTTACCTGCCGAGTGTAAAACTAGGCAAACATGTTATTAAGAGGGATATCCCTTTCGTACTTAGTAGCTATAAAAGAAACCGTATATATAAAGTGAGTACAAAAGTAAGTCAAATCAAGGCTCAAACTCTTAATATGTAAGTTTATAGGGATGTAAGAACCTTAAACCGTAATATACAAAAACGCGGCAATGAAGTAGTTGGGATAATTCTCTGACCGCCATACCTTCTGCCATGGGAAATTGGAAATATGATATATCCAAAGATTCCGTAGAAAACATCACTTCAGTTTTCTATTGTCAAATCGTCCAATTATTGCTACATCTAATATATCTTTTTGATACTCTTTCGCAGTTCCGGCGTACTCGTATGTGTGATCAGCATTGGCAGTACGTGCGTCCCCGTAAAGTGCTGATAAAGTGGATACCTTTACTCCACTTTGAGTGCACGTTTTCTTTTGTGGCTATTGAGTCTGGAAGAGATATGTAAGACAGTTTCGGTGTATTAAATCTGTAATATTGATGAAGATCACAAGTAACATCCCATACAGAATCGGGAATGAGAGTTATTAAAGCTGTCTCATGCAGCGTTTGGGAGTTTTTCGAAGGGATTCATGGACGAGCCACCCTAGGTGAGGAGAGGAATGCACTTTTGCGCAAAGATTCTCAAAGTCTTACCATACAAATAATAGTCAAGAACATGGTGTTTTTCCTAATTAAAATTAAGAATTACTTTTATAGGGAAAGCAGCTAGACTTTACCTTAGTTATGTACTACTCCTATAAATATAGGCACGTTGTCAGGGTGGAATATTGATCAGATTGTCCGCAAGGAGAGAAGGAGAGAATTCCTGCGGTGAAACTAACTAAATATCTACAGAATACTTTTATTCACTCAAGCGGGGATTATTACGTGCAAAGCCATCCACCGTGAAACACGAAATCGAACCTTCACACACGTTCAAATTATACGACCTTATAATGCCTCACGAAAATGTGGTACGATTTGATGACTGACTATTGCCAAATTATTAGACTGGGCCCAAGATAATATATTACTTACATCCTAAGCGAGGATACCAAAAAGGCTCCGAGCTTCACAGGAGATAATATAATACAAAAAGCTGGACAACATCTTCACGTGTAAACAGGGTGGAATCGATTGTTCTGGATATCGGGGCATCTATAATTGCAAGTCACTGAAACAATATGCTATGCCAATCAATAATTGTACATATCTGTATAACGTCGTTTATTAAACTCTACGTAATCTTTTCGACAACTATATCTTGTCAGATTATTGGAATTAGCCACGCATGCACCCAGGTATAGGCCATAACTTCAAAGCGCTCTTCAGTGAAAAGCGCTGATTTGCGGCAATATATGGCAGAGGATATTACCTAGCTAGAGGCTTAGAGCATGACTAGGAGCCAAACCTAGCATTGATTGAAACACTACACATATATTTTGAAGTCAATGTTCAATCTGTGAACTCTTTTAGCGAAAGAATAATTGTAAAAGCGAATTTCCTATCCGTTCTATCAAACAAGGTTGAGATCACTCCCTTGACAACTCCTTCGGTAGCTTTCGTTGCCGGTATTTCCAACAAGTCCCCTCCTTTATAACTTAAGCTATAAGCCACTAGTAATTGAGCAAAAGCTCATAGGTCATCGCAACACAGAATCTGTGCAGAAAAATGCTCGTCATGTCTTGAGTCAAACTCAGTCGAAAAGAGCCATGCTATTCAGGAGTTTGTCTAGCCTGAGGACTTGTAGAAGAATTTGGCGAATGTTCGAGATTTTTCTGAGGATACTGTGGAAAAACTTCAGTAATGTCCTCAAATGCTTGACGATCGTCAGCAAGAAAAGGGCATTTCCTTGCAGGGGGAACCTTACCGCTACGGATTTCCTCCCGGTCCAACGGGGCGTCCTCCATCTCTACATCTTCGAGGTCCTTCTTCGCGTCTTCTTGCAGCTCTTGTAAGTCTTTTACCACCTGTCCTGGGTCTTTCTCTCGCTCGTCTGGTTTCTCCTTCTCAACTGACTCACGTCGAAGCTTTGCTAACGGTGAAATAAGCAGGCCATTCCACATCCATTTGAACACCTTCGGCACACCTATTAATTCCCTCTTCTGCTCAATCTCCATTTCAAGCTCAAGCTGCCTCTCAATATTGGCAAGCTCCTCGCGTCTTTCCGCCTTCTCCCTTTCCTCCGCCAGGTACTTGTCCCTCTCCCAGCAAATCTCGCACTTCTCCTCAAATGTCTCCAGATAGGTATCGCAAGCGTCGAGAGGGCAGATCATATTGTTGTTATATCGGCAAGAGTCGCGGTACAAAACTGAAGGTCGTTAGTGAAGCTAATTGCAACCAATTGTCTGCAACACGCGTTCTTACAGCTATGACCGCAGTCTTGCCAGATGTATTTGTGGATGAGCATGCGACACATCGTGGCGACCTTCTTGTGGCGTTTGGAGCTCGTAGTTGTTGGTTGTATTGTGCTTGTCGCAATGTACAAAAGGTTGTGTCGAGATTTTGGATCTCGAGGGGCGGCGAAAAGTGGGTCTGCCACCTAAGCGAGGTCGCTCCTTCCTCCCTTCCTCATTCACGCAACTTCCCAACCAAAGGATTAGTCCCAGCGGAAGTGAAGCAAGCATTATTAATCATTTTCCAACCCACATAAGTGACAAGCTTGAAGACAAGTCTTCCGGGTATTTCAATTATGCTGGACCCAGGCCCTATCGCTGGGCCCTACCCGTTTGTTTATGTTTACTTTCTTTCTCGAGATACTGTTTTCTTTATTCGCTTTACAAGTCTTTCAACTGCACAACAGCAATGGACTCCCATTATTCTCACAAATCTTGCACATGCTGATTGCATGATTACACCTCAACTGAAGCTCTTCAAACTCTTACGAACTCGCCGTGATTGCCTCAAAACTTCACTTACCTTAACCACCTGATACTTTCAACGGCAGCTACCGCCACAGAAACCTACTATTATTATTTCCTGGCCGAGTCGATAATGTGAAGCGTTTTTGTTACATACACTGTGATGCTTTGTCTCGGGAAATTTGGTCGGCCTTGTAACATTGCGACGAAACGGCGAATCATGGAGTCATACGATAGATGAAAAAGCTAGTACATGTAACTTAATTTAATCAAAAGAAGACTTGAAAATTATTTCAGTCAATTTCTGAAAGTTATGTGACCATCAAAGTTGTACGGACGATTTAATTTAATGTTATTCTAAGCTAACGGTATGTATATAGAGTACCAAGTAATGGCGGCGTTTCTTGCTTCTAGCAAGACGGTACTCGAGTATAGTTACGAAACCTAGTCATTACTCCATATACTAATATAACTAATTTCTAGTACAACTATTTTAATTAGTACTTATTTATAGAGAAAGGTAAGGTTTAATGATTATTAAAACTGTCTATATATCGTTTATAATTGTATAAAGGCTTGTAGAATAATTTAATTATAAGTTAAGTATGTATGTGTTGTGCTGGGTCTACTTTCTCTTTTGCTCCACTTCCTTATTTGATCCACTTATAGTTCTGCTGCCTAAATGCTTCATGTCTGCCTAAACCTTACACTCTTTATATAAACACCTTAGATAGCTACCCTTTACAATGCATTCAATTCTCCATGACCTTCAGTACCCAATACCCTTTCAACCCAATATAACCCTATCCCGTAAAGTCTTTCCGGAGTAACTATGACTGTCGACGTATGTTTCGAGGTACTTTGTTGTGTGCTTCGCCTTGAAAAACTCCACATAGATATCTTCTTCGGGCGGCCGTGGCATTGGTTCGTCCGAGAATTCCGCAGTTCCAACAGTCCATTGTGTCCAAAATGTATCATATCCTCTCCCTACATCGTGAACCATTAGTCTAAACGTAACTGAGGATAAAAAGGGGGTTTCTATCAAACTGGAATTCCATGTCCCTCCAACGCAATTGTCCCTGTCAAGTATTACCAATTGTGCTTTAGGGTGAAGATCTAAGTAAAATTTGGCAGCTTAAATTCCCGAAATTCCTGATGGGTGTTAAAACTAGTGAGCCAAATCAAGTGAGCTGGATCGGAGCTCACCTGCACCAATTATGAGAATGTCCACTTCGAATTTGGTAACGTCAGTCATGGCTCTGGAGATGATTTAGAAAATCTATCGGTATAGAATTACAACGGCCTAGGTAAAACAGAATTTGTATTGGAACACATGACAAACTATTGCAGCCAGGCGGGGATTTGCTCCGCAGAGCTTGGTTGGCACCTTGTATTATCGGTGCTTGTTGGTTGTTGTTGCTCCTGGTTCAGTTAGTACAATGGGAATATGTGCAACAAGGTTGTCTTGTTTAACGCAGTGATTGGTCAATATTATGGCTTGTTTTGGATACTTGCATGGGTTCTACGCCGGGAGAGTGGTTACGATGGCCCCTTAAACATGATTGCTGCCGTAAACGAGTGTCCGATCTTACAGTTGGAGTTGAGGCCACAGATCGAATCATTGCTGAAATACGCCCCACTTCTCATCCCCTGCATACAACAACCAACAGATAGCACAATGCAACTCGGTTGGTAACCTCGCGAGCTCGTTTACGGCATCAATCGCTTGTGATGTTTCCGGCAGCCAGGATCCGATAATCAATTGCACAAACATTGAATGGATTTAGAATTGCAAAAATCACGATGTTGATCGTCTTCTCCATATTCTCTCCTTTTTCCTTGAGCCATATTTAGTCAAGTGTGCCTCATACTTGATTTCTACTCCTTTTTACTCTCAACTTCACACTGCACCAGTGTCGTTTTTTAAGCGAAAGAGATGTCGAGTACTAAGAGAGACGATGTTGAGCCCGCGGTTCATGAGGCCAATTACTTCAAAGGATGGCGTTTGGGTGCAGTTGGCACCTCTATCGTTCTAAGCATGTTCTTGGTATGTTCGATACCCAGTTTTGTAGGAAGCTGCATATGTGACGATGACTGACTGATGGACAGGCATCGCTTGATCTAGTAATCAAATCTCCTTTCACAGGCGGTTAATACGCGATAGACTGATGAAATCTTGAAGACCATAATTGCCACGGCGATTCCTCAAATCACGGATGATTTTCACAGTCTGAGTGATGTAGGCTGGTACGCCTCTGCCCTCTGTGCGTATTACTGTTTCCCTCGCAGAAATAAATTCACGCCGCTAATCTTGCAAAGTTCTCACCGTTGCTGCTGCACAATCAGTATGGGGAAAAGCCTTCAAGTATTTCCCAGTGAAAACGGTTTACTTGCTCAGCATAGCAGTGTTTGAAGTTGGAAGTTTGATTTGCGGTATGATACTATTCCAGAGATGGGTGGAAACTTCTTTACTAATAATAGGAAGGCGTAGCACAAAATAGCACAACACTTATTGTCGGAAGAGCAGTTACAGGTCTTGGAGTCGCTGGAACCTTCGGAGGGTCTTACATTATCATTGGCATATCTGCACCACCTGAGCAGAGACCAGCTATGACTGGATTCATGGGATCTGCGTATGCGATTGCTTCAGTAATAGGGCCATGTAAGAGACTGCGTTTGTGGTTGCACATTATCAGACCGCACGTTCCCCCTTTTCATGATCTCGGTTAGCTAACATGTATGGCGAAGTGATTGGAGGGGCTCTCACAGACCGTGTAACCTGGCGATGGTGGTGCAATATCTCCAATTTTGTACATTTGATCGAAACATTACTAATGCCTGTTTAGTTTCTACATAAATCTCCCTTGCGGCGCTCTCGCTGCGGCCTCTATAGTTTTGTTCTTCAAGGTTCCAGCGACTGTAAAACCTACGGAGGCCACTCTGAGGGAAAAGCTGAAGCAAATGGATATTCCAGGATTCTTGATAGTAACCTCCGCAGTTGTTTGTTACCTCCTGGCAATGCAATGGGGTGGTGTAATAAAGACTTGGGGCTCGTCTGATGTTGTTGGGACACTAGTTGGGTCAATAGTTTTATCTATTGCATTTCTAGTGGTGGGATGGTATCAAGGAGAGCGGGCGCTTCTTGTCCCCAGTATACTGAGGAATAGGACCATTGCGCGTGGCTGTGCTTTCAGCTCTTTGTAAGTAGTTCATTCTCGGTTCCTTGTAACATGGATTTGCTACTAAAGTCACTAGAATTGCGGGAAACTTTTATATTCTGCTTTACTATCTTCCTTTTTACTTCCAATCGGTTCGAGGCGCTAGTGCAACGGACTCTGGGATACGCACGCTACCATTGATTCTTGGACTCAGTGAGTTATCTTCTACTTCTGGCACATCTAGACTAACAGGTCAGCTTTGGTACAAATAATCACAGGAGTATCTGTTGGCGCTATCAAACTCTTCAATCCCTTCCTGATCGCTGGTGGGATTCTCACAACTATTGCCACTGGATTGATGACATTGCTAGAAGTAGATTCCGATCATAGCGTCTGGATTGGATACCAGACACTAGCATGGAATGGACTTGGCCTTTGTTTCAACGTCTATATAATTATCGTGCAGAATATCGTCGAGCCGGACGAAGTCGCAACTGCAACCGCGATCCTTCTGTGTATTTCTTGCAGCTTGATACTCCGTATCATCCACAAATATATACTGACTTCCAGGCAGTCTTCCAATCTCTCGGAGGTGCTTTGGTAGTCTCTGCCGCCCAATCGCTCTCACAAGTCCAAACATCAATCCTGCTACTATCTTCGCCATTGGTGCATCCGACCTCCAATCCACTTTCCCAAAGGAAGAATTGCCAGGAATCAATTCAAGTTATGTAAAAGCACTACACATGGCTTTTACGATGGCGATACCAATGGCTGGTGTTGCAACTCTGGTCGCAGTGAGCCAGAACTGGTTTCGCTTAAAGGTCCCTAGTAATAGTGAGATTTTGGGATCCAATGGTAATGATGTGGAGAAGAATACTTAGTTGTAAGTATATGAGGCGCCGACTATCTTGTCCTAGAACATGTAGCAGGATCTGATTCTTGTATTGTTGTATTAGTAACCAATCTTAATACTTTTTCGATAGTATTTATCTACTTATTCTTCTGATTAAACCTTTTAATAGACAATTAATATAACTATTAACCTAAAGTGAATAGAACATTAGCTACTATAGCTTAGCTAATACCCTCCCTTCTCTAAGTAAATAGCTAAGATACCTGGTCGTTACTTTGTAAGAGAGGCGGGTATTACTTCGTATATTCCTAGGTTATAAAGATATTATTCTAAAGACCTCGTACAACTAAATTAATTATACGAATACTCGAGTAGTAAAGAACCATTAATACTTTTCACTCCTTACTACCCGAGTTAAAATAGGACAGTTAATTAAGTTATACTAGACCTTTAGTATAATGACTTTTAATAGCGTATATAGAGTAATGTTCGAATTTCTTATAACTTATACTATATTAAAATCTATTATATAAAACATATAGAACAAATAAAATAACTATCTTAGAATACCTAGTCTAGTAAGAAGTAAGAGGTAACGATTATTCTAAGCTCTTTATATAATTATTTTAGTTAACGTGCATGTATAGCGAACCGGCCAAACAAGCGAACCGGCCAAAACCCGGCGACCCCACCACACCTCCACGAAATATTAAATTTCTCTACAACGAAGGATGCCTCTGAAAAATGACGAAAGCCGGTTAGTCTTAGCTATCCAAGCTATGCAAAAAGACCCAAATTTACGTGCTCGAGCTGCTGCCAGGACCTATTCTGTAGACCACCGGAAGCTAGGTCGACGTTTGCTTGGTATACCTTCACGACGCGATATTTTAGCCAATTCACGGAAAATGACCGAGCTAGAGGAATCAGTACTTGTTCAACATATCCTCGACCTAGCTACAAAAGGATTTCCTCCGCGGATATCTGTAGTTGAAGATATAGCAAATCGACTTCTTGAAGCACGCGACGCGCCACGCGTCGGGACGCGTTGGGCTTATAACTTTGTTAAGCGCCGCCCAGAACTCCAGACACGCTTCCAACGAAAATACGACTATCCGAGAGCTAAGTGCGAAGATCCAGAAGTCATTCGTGGCTGGTTTGAGCTTGTACGAAACACAATAGCGAAGTACGGAATCTACGATGCAGATATCTACAACTTTGACGAGACTGGGTTTATGATGGGCGTTATCTCAACTGCAATGGTTATTACAAGCTCAGAAGGACGTGTAAAAGCAAAAAGAGTACAGCCTGGTAATCGGGAATGGGTTACAGTAATCCAGGGGGTTAATGCCCAAGGCTGGTGTGTTCCACCGTTTGTGATTGTTGCCGCAAAAAATCACCTCGCTTCCTGGTACCAAAACAGTGGATTTCCACCTAACTGGGTGATTGCTATTACTGAAAATGGTTGGACAACAAATGAGAAAGGCATGGATTGGATTCGACATTTTGAGAAGCATACAAAGTCCCAATCTATTGGTGGTTATCGTCTATTAGTCCTCGACGGCCATGAAAGCCACCACTCCGACGAATTTGAGGAATATTGCAAGGAAAACAACATTATCACTCTTTGTATGCCTGCTCATTCTTCTCATATACTCCAGCCACTCGACGTTGGCTGTTTTAGCCCTTTGAAAAGGGCATATGGTCAGCAAATTGAAGATATGATGCGGGCTCCGATTATCCATATTACTAAGGATGATTTCTTTCCTGCCTTCCACGCCGCATTTAATATTGCAATGACAGAAAGCAATATCCGAGGAGGGTTCCGAGGGGCTGGGCTTCTTCCATTTGACCCAGAAAGTGTAATTTCTACACTTGATCTTAAGCTAAAGACGCCAACGCCTCCAAACTCCCCCCCGTATTCCGCTCAGCCTTGGGTTTCCCAGACACCAAATAACCCTACTGAAGCCTTATCACAGACTGCATTTATTAAAGATCGAATTTTACGCCACCAAAGTAGCTCTCCAACCCCTATTTACGAGGCCATTGACCAGTTTACGAAGGGTGCATCAAAAGTAATGCACCAGATAGTACTATTGAAAGCTGAGAACCAGAGACTTCGACAAGCAAATGAAGTACTAAGTAAGCGCCGTAGAGCTAAAAAAAACACGCCTACAGCAAGGAGGATTACTTAGTCAACAGGAAGCGCAGGACCTACAGGATGATAGAGATATTGGTGAGCAGGTAATGCAGGAAATAAAGAGAAGTAGTGGTCGGAAGCCGAGGGAAGAATCACGTGCACGGCGCTGTGGCAACTTGTCACGAATCACGTGTAGCAATGCATGTGACAAAGGAAGTCCAGGCGGCGTCCTGACAGGTTAAGCACATCCATGGACTTATAGCAAAAAGGGATCAGTTAGACTAGCTAAGCGATCCAGGGATTTCTTCCGGTTAGAAAATCACGTGATCTAGTCGCCTGAGTCGCCTGTCGACTGAAGCGAATAAGATTTATGGAACAGACGCAACTCCTTGGGCAATTTAGGAGTTGTAGTACAGTACAAAGAGACGAAGTGGAACGCTGGGGGGAGACTGAAGGTATTAGGACATGAGATGGCTAGCAGAAGCGGCAGCCAAGGAACCTGATATATGTCAAAAGATCAAGTAAAGCACTTCTTTTACGCTATGTATATAGTTGTAGATAGAAGCCAGACCGCCCAAGGGAGGAGGCTGCTGGTCACTGTATAGTGATGAATTGAAGTGCGCTTACCAAATGCGGTAAGCGTACTTCGGCAGCTGCGCCGAAGCTGGACCACTCCGGCATAGCCGCCCTACGNCGCCCAGGGGAGGAGGCTGCTGGTCACTGTATAGTGATGAAGTGAAGTGCGCTTACCAAATGCGGTAAGCGTACTTCGGCAGCTGCGCCGAAGCTGGACCACTCCGGCATAGCCGCCCTACGGCGGGCGGCTGGAACCGAGTATGAATAAATCAAATCAATCAATCAATCAAATCAATCAATCAATCAAATCAATCAATGAAGCGATCAGGGCGAGCGGAGCGATCAATCAGAGAACGAAGGTTCTTCTAGTCGCCTGAGTCGCCTGTCGACTGAAGCGATCAGGGCGAGCAGAGCGATCAATCAGAGAACGAAGGTTCTTCTAGTCGCCTGAGTCGCCTTCTTCTTCTTATCATAGCATACCAACCAGCGAACACCCAGCCAAGTTTAGTTAGCCAGTTTGAGTATTCGTTACACTTAATACTATTTTGGTAGTCTATTATATACGCTTCGAGGTTATTAATATACAACTAGTTAATGTTTTGTAGGACTTTTTGTAGAGGCTATACTTAGGTAGAGGCTACTTAAAATCGAGGATTTTACGCTAGAAAATACGCTAGCAATTCACTATATTCGAGACTATTAAAATACATAGGAAGTGGATATTAAGCGACAGAAATGCCACAAGTTCTATTTTCATCAAATTTTTATGAAAAACATATAAAAAAATAAGTAGCATATAGGGGGCATTTCTGTCGTGGAAGAATTAATTAGGTAGTATTTCTATCGTTATCAATAAATTAGGTAGCATTTTTGTCTTTTACCGATATATGAAATTACTGAAAAACACTAGTACATTACAGGAGTAGTTTTTAGGGGGTTCTAGAATTGGATTTTATTTAGGGGTAATGGAGTAGAGGTAGTATACGAGATAGTAGAACCTTAATCTCTTATTAGATCCTCTCAGGGTCAGGAGGCTGAATAATACAGGGTCCGAGGTCTCATCCCCGTCTTACAGAGCTCTTTGATATTTTCAGAAATGAAAGAGGAACAATAAGAGACGTGATCGTAACTCTGTAGACACCTTATAGTGTGTACAAAGTAATACCCAGGTATCACACCTTCATACTTTCCACAAATCAAGGTTCTAAAACTCGCTTAAATCACAGGATTACCAAAAGCTAATCATCAGAACTTGCTTCTCCTTCAAGAGCAAGATCGTCCAACAATCCGCCATCCGGAGTATTAATAAAAACCGAAGGAACACTTTCAACCCCATCCATCCCATCATCGTCCTCACACTCACCATTACCCTCATTAGTAACAGTGCCAAGACGACTCCGAATAAATGTAAGCTCCGCCTCGGTCGGATGAGAGGGAGCAGATGTCCAAAAAGGCCATGGATATGTGTCAAAGAAAGTCGTGGGAGAGAGCTGCTCGGGCGAATCGGCGAGATTGTCGTCGTAAATAGGTGTCCCTGGGTTTTCCCACGAGGAGTTATCAACCTCCTCGTCTTCATACTCGTAGAACGAAAATCCCGTCGGAGCTCTAGAGACACCTGAGCTACAAGATAATCCATCATCGAGGAATTCTCCCGGCTCCTCTGAAGTTAGGGAGTCGCAAAGCGAGAGACCTGCCAACTCAATTCTTAACCCTTCTGCATCCCGTCGTGGCCAGCCGGCTCGAGGAAATGCAAAAGATGATGGGCCTGGCCCAGGTCCAGCTCCAGAAACGGAATTCAAGAAGCCTTCTGGTTCATACAATGAAGTAGGAGAAGAGAACGGCGAACCAGTTTCCGAAAGCGGACTCGAGGGTGCGCCTTCATGGCCAGGTGCTGGACCATCAGTAAACCCTTCAGGCTCTCCAGGAATCAAAGAGATAGGTTCTAGGTATTCCCACGCGGCGCTAACTTGTGCCTGGGAAGTGAAATGCTGGTCCACTTGTCTCATCCGATGAGCCTCGGTAGACAGAGCTGGAGGAGGGAGAGCTAGTGGGTATGAAGGAATCTCATGCCCGATGAAATCGGATAGGTTATTGAGTGTGATGGCATGGGGGGTAGGAGGAAAGACGATGAGACCCTCGCGAGAGGAAGCAAATGTTGGGGTAGCTTCTTTCTCATGGTCAGTATTGGAAACTGGACTGTTCGCTCGCGAAAAGGCAGCAAAGAGATGAGCCCTTGAGGAACTGGGATTGTTCAATAGATCGGTCATGGAGACATCATTAGAGGAGTGAGAGAGATTGCGATGGCTCGGCCAAGCAGTCTCAATCTCATAGAGGATCCCTTGTCTGTCATTTAGATTCCAAATCTTGTCGCGAGAAGAACCTCGATTCTCCGGATGTTCCTACCTGAGATGGCAAAGTGTATCTATCATCAGAAGTCCGATGATAAACCATTCCATCAGTGGACAACCAGACGGGCAATGTACCTCCTACAATTCCATTCAAATGAGAATGGAAGATCTCAAGATAAACGGCTGAATCCTGAACTCCGGAGAGATAGAGAATATACCCCTGAAGGTCTGCGAAAAGTTGAGATCGAGAGATAGGAAGAGTGGTAGTCTGAAGGGCCCCATGAAGGGTCGACCAGAAGCGGAAAGTGATTGGGTTCCTGATAGCTGTGATGGTAGACATTTTGAAGATATGAATATAACTTTGTGTATGAATGATAAATATATGTAGGTCAAATCAAAAGGTCAAATGGTATGGCGAGGAGGAGTTTAACTACAGCATGGAATTGGAGAAGGGGTACTTGTAAGAAGCATACCCTGTTGTTTTCTACCGAAGATCTACTGTTAAGCATCAATATCCGCGTACGTAAACAAGTCCACTACAGTGAACAAAGGATAACTCTCTCCAGCCTATCATATCTCTCAAAATACAATGTCATTGACGGCAATAATGCATTGTAAGAAGAAACAAAGCGAGAGTGGAAAGGAAGGAACAATGAAGTGTTCCGACACGCGTGATCATGTTTTGGGCGGTTCTACAAAACTTTCTTTGTGGTGTTTTACGTACGTCGAAGGTGACCCCCCACCCCCAACCCCCCCACGAGGGACAGAACCCTTCATTATCATGGTATAATATTAGGAGAAAGAAGGGTTTCGCGACAGTCTACGAAAACCAGAAAAAGTAGAGTCAAACACCAGAGAAAATGCTATACATCCCTAACCTAACGCCGTCATTACATCTTAACGCTTCGTTATTTAATTCCCTGGCTATCACACCGCTCACTCCCTTATACACTTCATAACAACAATCTCCTCCCCTCCCCATCCCCAATCTACCCTCAAGGCTAATCCACCACCTAAAAGATCCCCCATCCCTTCCCCTTCCCATCTTTCTTACCATCAACCTCTCTCCTAGCCCTTCCCCTCCCCTCCTCCCTTTTCCGACTCTCCAGTTCCCTGACCCCATCCATCTTTTCCAGCGCCAATTCAAGCAACTCTTTCCTACGAATGACATCCAAATGACCCCTGACTCTGCCATCCTCCCGTGCAAACCTCTCGACCTCTGCCTTGGTCAATCCCCTGCCTAATCTGACATCCAATTCCCGAGGAAACTGATAGACAAATTCCGACAAGAGCTCGACATTCAAGAAGAGTACAGCGGTGGAGACGAGTTTGGTAGAGACGACATCCAGGAAGATCTCAGGACAGTAGTACTTGTTGTTTTTGGTGGCGCATTGAGGAGATTTCAGGGCGTTGAGACGGAGACGGAGGAGTTGGGCGCGGTCGGTGAGGAAGAGTGCTTCTTTACCTATACCGCCACAATGATTAGCAAGGGAAAGGAATCGACATAGAAAAGTGTAATGCGAGTGACATACCTTTGGAAAGTAAATCCGAACTGAATCCTCCCGCACCTGTCGCACCATCATCGCCAACAACGACTTCCCCCTTCCGTGCCTTCTCAACGAAACTCATAACATCCTTGAGTTTGCGTTTGCCACCGACAACCTTCTCCACATCCTTCACTGCTTCCTCGACAGTCTTGAGTTCGGTTTTCAGAACTCCTGCTGCATGTTCACGTCCACGGGTCCATTCCCCATCCTCGACGTCAATCTCGAATTTGTATGGCTTAATACAATTCTCCACCTGGTCACTAGTACTGTAGAATCTCTCGTTCAAAATCCCAGATGCCGCTTCAGTGATGGCTTGACGCGCAAATGGGTGGTTGGCGAAAGTGCTGTTGGCAATCAGTCGATCCACATTTGTTTGGATGGCATTTGCAACAACCGTTGTTGCCAGACGACCGATACCCAGTTTTGTGAGTTGAGAAGTCGATGAGTCCAACTTTCGGTGCCAGTATAATGATTCTGGGTCGGCTTTAGGTAGATCAGCCAGTACATCTGGCTCTACAGGTGCAGGTCCAAGATTTGTGATGGGTCTATTCCAATATTTTGCTGCAAGAAGATCAAGAACTCTTTGATCTAATTCTTCCTTGAGCATTTCACGAACTTGTGGACGGCCAAAGGTTTCTGTAAACTCCTTGAAAGAATGTTTGAAACCATCAAGACTCTCCGCAAGGTATGATTCTGCAGATAGAGGACGGTCGTTGTATTGAACCTTGAACTCATAAGTTGCCTCTTCAAGTTCATTGCGAACGGATTCGCGAGTTGTTTTCAAACTCGCGGCCATCGTCTGCTCGAGAACTTGCATCAACTTCTTACGAAGAGTGGTGGTTCCCAAATTCAGATCAGCATCTGAGCCAAATTCTACCGGATGTGATGAAAAGTAGGCATTTTCATTTCGGGTGATGGCTGCTGAGATATTTCCGCTTCCTTTTTTGAATAGGCTGGATGATGAATGTGGAGCTTTGGGTATGACACCAACATATCCAAGACGTAGTGGATATTTGCGGTCAGAAAGGATATCTGCTCCTCTCTTGGCATCAACAAGATCCATTTTTGTCACGACCCCAATAGTTCTTTCTCCACGTGGATCCACTCTTCTACTGGCTCGGAGAGCTGTCGAATTTGCCAGATCAACATCGGCTGCGGAAATAGCTAAAATAACATTTGGAGGTTGAATGTATTTGTCGCAGAGATCAGCAATCTTCTGCTTCAACTCCAGAGGTTGATCGTGTCCCACGACTTGAATGTACCCTGGCAAATCAATCAAAGATAAGTCTGGAACATTTGGCGAGGAGATGGTAAGCTGGATGGGATCATCCGAGACGCATTGTGAATCTGGTACAGCCAAATTGAGTTCTGTTAATGTTCGTTGAATATGGGAAAAGTCCGTGATCTTCCCAAGACCAAGAGCGGGAAACTCCCCATATTCAGCTTGGCCATTTGGAGTATTGACCAACGTCAACTCGATGGGTCTTCGAGTAACCATATTTGAACCCTTTGGCAAAAATTCATGTCCAACAATAGCTTCCAAAACCGAGCTCTTTCCAGATGATTGAGATCCAATAACAACAATCGATGGTAGGTTCAATGCGTTTGATTGACCCACGGTTTGGAGAATACTTCGGATTTCAATCATTTTCTTGGTCAAGACCATCATTTGATCGTCCCTGGCAGCTTCTTCGTCGGTTCTGTCTTCATCGGAAAACGAGTCACTAGCGTAAGCTGCCCCAGCTCCAGCGGCAGCAGCAGCTCCTACTCTGGCTTGTTTTGGAGGTTCCCCACCAGGGCCTCCCTCCCCACCATTGCCGTTTTTCCCAATATCTTCATGAATTCGTAATATTCGTTGTACCCATTCTGGGACTTCAACCTGCTCCTTTGTGTTTTCCCAACCTGCTCGTGTCTGCCCTGCAATATCAACGACGCTTCCAAACAAACCTCCAGCCACGTTGGTGACGGTATCGACGGTATTTCCCAGAACGCCCAGCGCATAGTTTCCAGCCTCTGATAGAAGATTAGCAATGAGAAGTTCTTTTACCAGTGCAGAAACATACGAGTAGCCTGGTATTGCACATATACTAGACCACTAACAGTGGCACCAGCAAAAAGAGCAGGAATTCTTGCAAACTTGATGAGAAGTTTGGGTAGTATCCGGGCAAAAGAAGCATTTCGCACAATGACGGCATTATGAAAGGGAGTATATCCAGCAGGCCATATCCTCTGCCGGGCTATTCTATACGTCGAATCTGATCGTAAAAGTCCGCCGGCGGAAGTTGAGGCTTGGTGAAAATGACGGGCTCCTGGTCTACTGATTCTCTGAGCCAGTGGCAACAGCCTGGCTGACAGGAGCCGGCCACTCATGGTAGTAAGCTGGAGCACACGCTATGGTGTTTTCGCAGATGCTCAGGTCGGGTCTTTGAGATTCATCAGTCGGCAGATAAGCAGTGGTGGGGGATCGCGAAGGCAGTGATTATATTTGTTGTTCGCCGTAGATGTGATAGCATGGATCAATATCTACGGATTAATTTCGGGCCGGGTGGCTGATGATTTGTGGCTAGTGACTTATGGATGATGGTCTGTGGCTGGTACTCGTATAGGACCTCCACCAATGCAGTTGGCCTTTCTCGTACTTGCACTCGGGTGGGTGGGTACCTACCTGGAGACCAAAAAAGTAGCGATCAACATGCCATTTGGAGTTTTTTCTTGGTATGATATTCGAGTCACGTAAATGATTTGGGGCTGCCGTGGTATTACTATGTTTACTTAGGGCACGATACCCTAGGGGACTTAAATCTCTAATGTAAATAATCTGGAGTATTACATTGTAGGATTTCTGTTGCAGTAGCTGCTTAGTACAAAGCTTGACTTCAGTTTGAAGTACTGTACGAGTACGTGCCTATGTGCCGCGTTCTTGTGTCCCAAGAGCGTGGATACCCTGGCTGTTCGTAGGGATGGCAGTATGACATAGTTCCAACTGAAAACTGTCAGGTTTCTACTAGTGTGGTGTAGTGTAGCCTTGTCACATTAGCAACACAACACCAAACCAATGGTTCCTTGTTCCCTGCGAGTCGTTAATAGTACCCCGACATTTCTATTCTGAAAACTTTTGGGGACTTCATTTTGCATGCTCATCCTCTGCTCCTCTCCGACTTCCTTTATCAAATCTCGGCACAGATTGCGCCATAGGATTTCGCCGATTCCGCCGATTCCGCCGTTGTTCAGCCTCGCGCCTCCGCCATTGTTCAGCCTTGCGCCTCGCGTGGCCGCTGCTTGGCTTTGCTCTGTCCTCCATCCAATTCTGAGTCAATAACAAAAGCAAACCGACACTGTCACTCCTACCCTTCTCCCTTCCCGACCCTACTTAAATCGGTCCCAACCGTCTTTCTGACGTGGACATCATACAAACCACCATTGCGCAGGCCACTCGTGACCAAGTTCGCAACGATGTGTCGGTTTCTGGTCGGTCAACCTTGGTCACCATTTGCTACTGTAGTATCCTACTGACCCCTAATTTTAGGTCTTCAAAGGATCGGATGAGATTCTACTCTCAAAGTTGATCCTAGATCCTACCCATTCAATTCTTACCCAGTCATTCGACTCTCGACTTCGTTTGGACATGCGACGACCACACAATGGTTGCACTCCCCAATCCTCGTACCAAAGCATTATACTGATGATCTTGCAGGTGATGGCTTTGGAATTGGATACTACACCGACCCTAAACTTGGCCCTGAGCCTTGTATCTTCACTTCTACCACTCCCGCCTGGAACTGCATTAATTTGCAACGAATCGCCTCCAAGACTGCTTCCCCTCTGATCTTCGCACACGTTAGAGCCACCACGGAAGGTTCTCTCAGTGATGATAACTGCCACCCTTTCAATCATGGAAGTTTGATGTGGATGCACAATGGTGGCTTGGGAGGATGGAAATATATCAAGCGACGTCTGGGAGAGAGATTGGCTGATAAATGGTATCTTGGTGTTCACGGAGGCACGGATAGCGAATGGGCGTTTGCATTGTTCCTGGATACCTTGGAGAGATCGGGTCATAATCCAAGTGCTCCTCCACCAGGCGGATTTGGACCCACCGTTTTACGAGGAGCAATGCTGGCTACCATCAAGCAAATTAACGACTTCATCGCCGACATTCCAGATGAGATTGTTGAGAGCGAGAATGTAGACACTCGAAGTTTACTCAATTTCGCAGTGAGTGATGGACACAGTGTGATTTGCACAAGATATGTCAGTAGCCGAACCGACGAGGCAGCAAGTTTGTACTATTCATCTGGTACAACATGGGAGGACAAGAGTAGCAAAGGAGAATATCAGATGGATCGTCGAGACAAGGGTGCGGATATTGTACTTGTTGCTAGCGAGCCCTTGACATTTGAGAGAGGTGGGAAGCTCATCAAAACTCTTGTGATACCATTCAGCTAACACCAAGCAGAAAGCTGGGTCACGGTCCCTACTAACTCCACTCTCACAATTCATAAACAAACCGTCATGGTGCACCCCATCATCGACGAATATTACAGCTACAACCCATATCACCGACGATCATCCAAATTCGCTCAAGATAAGGGACTTGTCACAAACGAGAAGGGCATCACGAGTCCCACTGGAACTCCTGGAACTCTCGCCATCTCCTCCCCTAAACCTCCTTCTCCGATGGGAGGCGATGCATCGAGATTAAACTTCCATCATAGTATTGCCACCACACTTGTCCCGTCAACACACGGCGTCATATCTCCAGCTCCATCTCCACTAAGCGAATACGCTCCTCACAAACCTCTTGAGAAGAAGCCTGCAGTTTCCGACATTCGTCAAATCACCGCTCTTCATTCCCTTCGAACCCAAAGCCGCTCTTTCTCCGCGAGAACCCCAGAAATGGGCAATACAAAGAAGAAGCGCACAGTTCTTGAAGGCGAAGATATAGATCATCCTGCTCAGATGGAACCAGCTACACCTCCTCGACCTGCGACCTCGTATGGCAATCGCACGAAAATCAACCAATATTTTCCCGAATTGGGTTAAGGTCTGAGATTGAGTGATGGTGATGGTACGGGATATGGATATGATTGTACAATGGTATGAAGGGATGTTTCCTGGCGTAGGTACTGAATGGAGTGTTGGTGTCATCTGGCGTAAAATTAGCGGGCGAGCGGGCGTGAATTTGGTGTTTGTTTTAGGGAGAGCTTTTGCATCTTTGCATCGCAAATACCCCTTTCCACATGGTTTGTTAAGCAAGACAGGCAGGCGTATGTATGGGTATGATTCATGGATGGGGTTTGCCAGCTTGCATTCAATTTAAAATAGACTTGTAATAGAAAAAGTTCTACTATACCTAGTCTGTGGAGATCTGAGTTTTCTCTTTTCTTCCCTTTTCTCTATGAAACAAGTGATATTTATGTAATCTTCTTAGTAGTCTTCTTTTTTCACTACAAGGTTTTAGTAGTTAGGTAACTACCTAACCTTCCCTCGGTGTTCATTTAGTATTTACTCTTATAATAGAACGTAAAAGACGTGATTTTTACCCTCTCTATATAAGTAAATACTATATAAAAAGGTCTTTTACTAACGTTTTAGGAAAAATAAGATATTTGAGAGGTCTAGATAGAGTAATTAAAAGATAGAATAGCGAAATGTTTAGGGAGGGAGAAAGGGGTTAGAGGAAGTAGTTATTTAGGGGGTTTAGGGGGATAGAGTTTTGTAGGTAAGGAAGGGGATAAAGGGCTATAAAGAGGGGAATAAATAGAGTAACCTATAAGTAAAGTAATACAAGAACATAGTATTTTACTCTGTACAATTACAATAAGCGAGAGTCGTTCGCTAACTCTCTCTACTCTCCTTGAATATGTAGTAACTTATTCTTCTTCTCCCAAAAAAAGACGTCATGAAATCCTCTCCTCCATAATCCCCTATTACCAAAGGAAATCCCCGGCGGCAGCCCAAAAATTTCCCGTAAAGATCCATAAGTAGAAGTATAGGTATAGAATACAAGAATAGACATTTCACCCTCCGAACCCATCCCCTCTTGACATCCCACTCCCTCGCCAGATTCATTATATCTTACATCATCCACCCCAAAAAGACAAGACACGACGCGACGCCAAAACTCCAGGGTTTCCAAGGTCCAAGATTGAAAACTCAAGACCGAGCACCTTCCAACGCACACTGAACAGTAACCTCCCACTCCAATCCCCCTCCCCTGCCATATTCACCCCCTAACCTATTCTTGATAAGCATCGTGATCCGCTCCCTCAGCTTCTGTACTTGTATCTCGTCCCCTCGAACCACCAGTTTGACATTAGCCATGCAAAGCCTGAAATGGACCTGCCAAAATCGTGCTTCTTCTACGGAGCAAATACATGGATCTCGGCTGATTTCCCGCATCACCTCTTTCACGCCTTTTCCTGAGTAGGACATGAGGAGCATGAGGCCTTGAGTGACGGCGAGACGGGTGCCGAGGAAGAACATGGAGATGGAGATAATGGAGCAGAGGAGGCGGTCCAGCCAGAGGTACATTTTTACGGAGAGGAGAGGGAGGAGGAACATGATTGCTGAGCAGGAGAGGGTTAGGAAGTGGGAGGGATTAGAGAGGACGGAGGGGAGGGAGGAAATGTAGGCGAAGCGCATTGCTCTTCCTATTCTGGCGTGGTTTTTTAGTCCTAGGGCGGAAATAAGCGTCGCGATTATAGAGAGGAGAGCGGCGGAATCGACACTTCCTGGGGATATTCTCGAGTGGGCATGAGGGTGATGAGGAGTGTGGTGACCAACGGATTCGAGGACGTGTTTTAGATTGTGCGATATTAGGTCGAAGGACATGAAAAGTAGGAAGACGGACATGGCGAATCCGGCGAGGACTTCTGCTCGTTGTAAACCGAAGGGATGTCGAATTGAAGAACGTTTCCAGACTTCAAAATTGCAGAATACGTCTACCACCACACATATCGTCGCAGAAACAGCGTCAAAGAAAATGAGGTGGGAGAGTGCTGTGAGCGCAAGTGAGCCCCCGGATGAATGCAACACATATGCCGCAATCAAGGCATGACATGCACACCACACAATCCTCGTAGTTTGTTCTTTTGACATACTGTGCCATGCCTCCTTGAATGTTGGAATCGGGAGGGAAGCCGGGAGAGCGAGAGGCGCACGCGGAGGTGGCTCGAGGAAGATTTGGTGTTGGGCGGAAACACTACTGTGTTTGTATCTGTGGCCTCTTCGCTGGCCAATATTCTTTTTGCGTCTGTTAGCATAGATTCTGATGCGCGGCTGACCGCCAATGCCAGCATTGCGCGCCGTTTGTGGTGTTTGGCCTACTGATTTTGCGACCGCGGGACTATCGCTGATGGTTTGCGTTTGGAAGTTAAAAGGGTTCCGCGTCCCTGGTTGAGGGGGCCCTCCTCCATTTGTGCTAGTACTGCCATTGCTGTTGCCATTGCCATTCCCACTTCCATTGGTGTTGGTGTTGGTGTTGGTGTTGAAGGTAGCCATTGACGGAGTGGTGAGGCTGCTGGCAGGCGATGGGAGTGGTGATGCCATTGATCCAAAATGTCCAGACATTGGTGACAATGAATTGAGGTTCCACGAAAGCGTCGAGTGCACCGTGCGATCTCCCATCCCGATCCCCATCTCTGGCTCCTCTGGGATTGGTGTGGGCGGGGTCGGTGTGCGAGGAGGCGCTGGGATGGGCAAGCTCGAGGCCATGATTGCGGTTTATCGTGATGAATGAAGCATCAAGGAAGCCCACACAGGGGAAGTTGTAGAAGAGGTAGTCGATGGTGGGCAATGGACAGAAAGAGAAGGATGAGTATGCCAATAATTAGTATTCACTTGCGATCATTGGCGCATCTCGATCGGGTACAGTTGTAATCTGATCATTTGGAGTAACGTAGTTGTTCACATGGGCATGGGCCCACTCCCACTTCAGCCTCGACAAGAGCCGCCGTCCGCTTCCAGCCCCGGAGCCCCTTCTATTTAAGCAACCGAGAACCTTATCCTGACTACACCTCACACTCTTCCAGCATCAACTTCTGGTTGTCCTTGCAACAACATTTCCATATACCATCCACCTCTGGGGAGGTACTGGGGTTATACCCAACACATATCTCTTGCCTATCAGAGATACCCATTCCAATTCTGCAATAATTACATATTTCAGATTCTTGAAATCTTCCAAAGAAGTTGTCTTTGACTTTCAGGTGGAGCTTTAGACTTTCATGCAAGGTACATCGTCTTTCTGATATTCGAACTTCAACTGCATAACATCATCTCACATCATCCCGCCCCAACCACAACCTACCAACAGCATCGCACAGCATTTTATGACATCCTACCATTGCGATCATATAACAGAAGCTGACCTTTTCAAGATATCAAACTTAATTCCTAGCAACTTACACAGCCTTTGAGGGTAAGTGCCTGGACTCAACTTGAGCGTGAGTAATTTCTCACTTCCAATAATCATTCAGGTTTAGCCTCCGGGAGAAATTAGCTGATATGTATTGTCACCACAGCAACAGAAAGAGCTTCAAGGCCATTTCAGCAGCAAAATTTGTATCGAAAATCTTGTGCAGAACACCACAGCTCATCCAGAGTTTGTTCCATTTGTTGGAACTGGAGCCTCGAGTTTCATTTGTGGGTGAGCACCCTCTCAATTGTAGCCTTGGACATCGGCTAACATGTTTTTCCGTTCCTTAGCGGCAAGAAGGTTCAGCTTTATCGTACCAATAAAACATCTTCAAAAACTCTTCTACTCAACACGCAATCTTGGAATCTGACCAGCTTTCCATTCGTTGGAAGTCATTTTGTGAGCTGCACTTGAAGGTAAAGTTTCTCTTCTCCTACGATATATCCTAGTCAAGACTAAATCAAAGTACTAGTGGAAACTGTGTACTTCTAGGAATTGGACAAAAGGAAAAGCCCAAGGATCTTCTTTACTCACGATCGGTGAGATTGACAGATCAATTTCAGTGGTAGGAGCTTCTGATTGGGAGAAGCCGGGTGTCTGGACTTCGCTATAAGGTAATTTCCGTCTGGTTGTTCAAAATTCACTCCTAGCATCACCCAGGTCCTACCCACTAAGAAAAGGAAGGGAAAAAAACGGAAAATTGAAAAACTCTCTCAGGTGGCAAGAATCAACTCCGTCGGTGATTGCAAAAAACACCAGCGACTTTTCAGGATCAAGTCCCCGCACAAAACCACCACAGCCTTCATAATCGACCGATTTCAAAAAACAAAATGGAAAACTCCAATCCTTCGAGCAATGCTCGTACGGGGCATGACTCAAGAATTCCTCCCTCAGAAGCAAAAGCTCAGCCTGATACAGGTGCTTCAAACATCCACAAACGAAGTCTTTCTGGCGGACTCCTATCAAAACTTTCATTCTTGCGAACGAGCAATGATGATAATCATGCCTCACCAGACCATGAACCAACCAGTCCCGAGTTCACCCCAGGGGATGATCGAAATTTGGCAAAGAAGACTAGCAGGGCCATGGCTGTGGCGGTTCAGCAGCAGAAGACGAGAAGAAGGAAAGGGTCGTTACGAAAGGCTGCACTTCTTGGGCGGGGAGCTCAACGAGATAGAAAGGAAATCATCACACCTCCTCTAGAGACGGGGCAGCCTACCTTATATGGTGGCGACATGTCCACAAGTCCAACGTCTCCAGAAGAGGTGATGCACTCTAATGGCTTTGGTTTGGCCATCAATACCAATACACGCCCTCCTCTTGAAGGATTCGCACCTCGTGGTGGTCCTCTCTTGCCACCCATCAGGACACTTCCAATGGGATCTGATTACCACCTTACATCGCCGACCATGGACATCAGTCCCACGTTGACTTATACTTCAACCACGGATGAAGACGACGTACTCATTATTCCAACACATAATCTGCCAGCCCCTCGTGTACCTTCTCCAAATTCGTCCGGCTCGGATTTGTATTTTGCTGCTGGTGCTAGCTCACTCACACGCAGACGCTCTGCAAAAAAGGCCAAGTCGCCTCTATCGATTGGGGGGCTCGCTGCAAGTCCGCTTCCAGTTTCTGATGCAGACTGGGACTACTCGGAGACGGAGTGGTGGGGCTGGGTGGTGTTGATCGTGACTTGGGTAGTCTTCGTGACGGGTATGGGCTCCTGCCTTGGGGTTTGGAGTTGGGCTTGGGATGTGGGAGAAACACCTTACGCCCCTCCTGAGTTGGAGGATGATCCTACATTGCCTATTGTGGGATATTATCCAGCGCTCATTATACTCACAACTGTGATGGCATGGGTATGGGTAGTAGTTGCGTGGGTTGGGATGAAATACTTTCGTCATGCAAAGATCAGTGGTGACTGATCTGGTGCATCCAAACATAAAAATAACCAAGGCCTTGGTTGATAGCCAGCTTACCTTATCGGCTCAGGGTCGCTTTTCAAACTCCTTTCGCCGACCTCCTATCACTGAGTGAAGCTATGTCGTCGCCTACCCACCTATATACATAACAAAACGCTAATCACTGCTTTCACGTCTATGCTGACGCATTCATAACTCCGATTCTGATTCGCCTGATTGTAATCAATTTACAAGCACAGATACACCAGACGTTAGTATCAAGTGACTGTGTGCGCCTCTCTAAACCAGGATTAGTCGCTTCTAGACCTGCCTGTGATTTTGGTCCCCAGGCCCTGCTCCGACAAGACATAAATATTCGCGGTCGGACTACATCAACCACCTACTCTCTACCACACAACCACCTCTTCTGGCGATCCTTTCTCCTGGGTAATTCCACTGTCTACGCGTTTCTCTTTGACCATCTGCACACCTCTATACACACAACCACTCCTAATCTACAAGGAAGTGAGTGCGCAGTCCCTCTTTGACGCGTCCGATCTAACCAAGTATCTCATAGAATGGCGTCCACAAGACTCAACAACGCTGCCAAGCGCCGCGTTCTGAACTCAATCGATGAGAACGATAACCGACTCTGGATTTCATCTGTCCCTAGGGACGATACTATATCTGAGTTACTACACAGTACGGACGCGTCTGAGAACGAAGATGATGAGACACCTGCTACTTCCCAATGTAACGATCAAGATGGAAAGGAAGACGACGCGGATGATGAGGAGGAGGATGACGAGGAAGATGACGAGGAAGATGACGAGGAAGATGACGAGGAAGACGACGACTTGGAGGAGGAATCAGAGGAAGAACGCGACCCTAATGACTTCGGCGGGGAAGAGATCACTGAACTCAGTAAGTAACTTGTACAACTTCAATATCCTCTGAACTAACCCTTGTAGAACCTCTCTCCGCGCGGCTACCAGAGGTCTACATTTACAACATCGACCAAAGTTATATTCCGACCGCTGGGGATATCAATCAAAATACCTGGACCAAATACAAAGTTCCTGCAGATATCGTCCGCCGTATTGCTGTCTACGTATTCGTTAGCGAGGAGCCGAATACCATCCGAGCGGTATTCAACCCCGACACTTTACACTTCTCCTACGCTGCCAATAACATTCCACGACTCAATAATCCCGTCGTACCCCACTCCATCCTCACAAAACAATTCGCAGACGCGCCCGTGTTCCGTGGCAATACCAAAAGATACCCATACTTCGATTACGGCAAGGACATCCTCTCAATCGAGTGTCATGCTTGCGGAGTCGAGGAAAGCGACTCCCACGAGGTCCACGACGAAGCCATCCACAGTGCCCTCCAATCCCTCCTCGACGACGCCTCCTCCCGCAAACAACTCCGCTTCCTCCGCCTCGAATTCTGCCACCGCAAGCTCCTCCCGTCTGATCTCGCGGACGGAACCTTCAACAAAAAGGACGACGAGGGAAAGCTGCTCTTTCCGGTTCTGAAGGAGATCACCTGGGTCTCGCATTGCCACGGCCCGGATGAGTTCTTGCGTGAGGATGAGATGATTTATAATCAGGAGAAGGATATCTTATGTGACGGGAGTAATGGATATCATTTTGTGTCGAGAATTGAATGAAGGGGGGGAATTTGGGGGATGATTGTTTTGCTAGGGATTTGTATGGGGATGTTCATTAGGGAGATTTTCTTTTTACATTAGCTGGTGTGGTTACTTTTAGGGGTTGTAGGTGAATGAATTACAATGATGATTTTCTGGTTCTGTATTTGTTTATATTAATGTTTATAAGTAATAGTAACACGTGATTTATCTTATACGTGAGTGAATTAAAGAAGGGGAAAAGTAGGAAGTAGCGTTTATTAAAAAGTTTATCTATATATTAGGTAGTTTACTTTATTAATTTAAAGACAAGAGTCAACGAAGTAAAAATAAGTAAAATAAGTATATTGATTTAAGAAATATTTTAATTAAAAGATTACATTTAGCTATTAGTAAGTTAATTAATTTCATTACTTTAAAAAGAAGAGATAATTGAGTAAGAAGAGAGGTATTACGCGAATAATAGAAAGGGGGGTTTTTATTAAAAATAATTCTCTTTTCTTAATTAATCTTTTTTATTTATCTTTATAAATCTAGAAAGACAAAAGGAAATAGAGAGATAAAGAATACCGTATTAATTAGAATATAAAATAACATTAGTAAATAAGATAAATAGTTATATAAAAGAAGGTTTAGATATCTTAAAATGTTAATATCTTATAAGTCTAGCTAATTAGATAGCTAGGATCTAAATCTCTTTGTTTTATATTAGTTTTCGAGTACTTATTCTACTACTACTATATACTCTAAATCGCTTAGGATTAAAGGATTGTACTATTAAAACTTAGTTCTAAAATTAGTATATAAAAAACTCGTAAGTTATATAAATTTTATAAAAAGTAAGGCTATTCCTATATTACCCTACGTATTTACCCTACTATCTTACACTTTATTTCTCTTAAAGAGACAGAATCATCTATAGGAGAAGCTAGTAAAGATATAGCTACTATATAGATTTATATAGAATATTATATTATAGTAGTTACTCTTATAATAAATAAGTTAAGAGCTTAAGTAACTAGGAAATGTGACGGAGCTGGATTTCATTTGACAGGATTTCATTCGCTTGGCCAAGCACGTGACGAGACTTGGCATTGGAACAACTTAAATAACTTCGCTCCTTTCAGATTCTCTTCTCTCTTTAGTTTGATTTCTTCGTACCTACGGTTTTAGTTCTAGCAATTGATTCAAAAGCTGTATACACTTTATCCTTTGTTGGCATCCGTGACAGGAAAGTAGACTTTATATAGGGGGTCGATATAAATATAATTACTCGCTTAATTTATAACTTACCTCCTATAACTACTACTTGGAATAATTTCGAGTCTTATTCCTTTTTCTATTCTTAATATAAAAATATACTTAATCTTAGACGTAGAATAGGTTTAATAATTAAATAAGTTAGACGTAGTTAGGAGTAAAACATATAGATAAGGGAGTTAGTTAGCCTAACTACCCGAAAAAAGTAGGGTAAAACTTTTTATAATATACTAATTTTCTAATAAAATAGGGTTTCATTTAACCTCTAGACGAACTTTTTATTTTTAGAATATTATCTTATAACTTATTCTAATAAATATAGTAGATTATAAGAAAGAATCAGGTTTTATTAGAAGGGAATAGTAAGGGCTAAGTAAGTTAGTTCGTTTATAGAGAGGGGGAAAGGGGGCTAAAAGAGAAAGGTTAGGGAAATATATAGAAGGGAGGGTTTATTTAGTAGGGGATATTAGGAATTAAGTATATTAGTTAGTTTAAGAAGAAGGGAGAATATAATAAGAAAAAGCTTACGCGAATAATAAAGAAAAGGTTTTATTAGTTAGTTCCTTTTTACTTAAAGGCTAGGGGTTTAGTTTACTTAATTTAGAAAGAAGAGGAAAGATAGTAAGAGGAAAGGGGTTAGTGTCACGAATCACGTGTTCACGTGATGCTTGTCATAATAAAAGGCGCAACCCTCGACAGGCACATCCAGGTTTCTCATAGCAAATAGGGATCGTTTGGAGTAGCTAAGTGTAACGAATACTCAAACTGGCTAACTAAACTTGGCTGGGTGTTCGCTGGTTGGTATGCTATGATAAGAAGAAGACTATCGGGTTGTTCACTTGGAAGTGAACTCGTTACTTGTATCAAAGATGTCAAACTAATATGATAAGATTGATAACTAAGTTGAGCACGAAGCTCCCACCTAATGGCAGACGTGCCAGTCTTATATAGAACCTTCATCCTCAAGTACTATGATCTGGGTAGCCAACTCGCCTGTCGAGCTCTCCTTTCTTCACTATGCCACCCGATCGCTCAACAAAACGCAACGAGTGTATTGCTTTAGGAAAAGAAATAGATCTCTCTAGAATAAAGATGGCTCCTTGTACTAGGTGTTCGAAATCTGGTTTCGGCAACGAGTGTACCGCCCCTCGCGACAAAAGTCTCAGTCGCTGCGGACGGTGTACAAAAAATGGAAAGACTTGCGACATCCGCGAAGTAAACCGGATGCCGACTGTTCGTGACTGGGAGTCCGTTGATGCCCAGATTCAGCGTCTCGAGGACGAAGCTGACGAGGCTCTGGCAAAAGTCCTTCGAGCCAATAAGCAGAAAAAGCTGCTTTATGCTCGGAAACAACGGATGATAGCGGCTGGTCTTAATTTCCTTGAAGAATTGGATGCCGCTGAAGAATTGGAAAGGAAAGAGAAGGAACGGGAGAGAAACGAGCAAAGGGAGAAAGAAGCCGCTCGTCTGGCCGCCCTTCCGATCCCTACTGCCTCCGACCCCTTTCCCGACCTGGTTCTCGATCCTGCTTTCCTCGAGACCCTCTCAGGCGACCCTGAGATGTGGGCAACCCTGGGTTTCGGCGATGGAACTCCTGAAGTTCCTCCGAGTACTGGGTAATATTCTTTCTGGGTTCCCAAGTGTTCTCCGAATGTGGGTAATCCAACCATTTGATCAAATACTTGATCTGTCCTCTGACAAGCCTGCAGTCAAGAATCTTCTCGACCTCATATTCGGCATTTGGGTTGACTGGTTGAATTTCTGTTTGTGGGGCTGGTGGTGCTCCCGGTGGTGCTGGTTCGAGTAAGGATATATGGAATACTGGGTGGATGTTCATTGTCCGTGGTAGTGCTAATTCATAATTCAAAGGTCCCTTGACTCTTTTGATTTTGAATGGTCCAAGTTTCTTGTGGTCCAGTTTGTTACTTGGTCTCCTTGTGTCAATGTTTTTTCGTACAAGGTAGACTTTATCCCCCTCTTTTAACGTTGGCTCCTGACTACGTAGTTTATTGTAGTAGTGCGCGTTACGTTCTGCCACGAACTGCAACTCACTTGCGAGTTCCGTGTGTAATACTTTGATTTTCGAGACCTGGATACGAGCAAGTTGATTGTCTGTTGTCGTAACCAGGGGTTCTCGATACGCTTCCAATTCGTACCCAAAGTTGGCGTAGAATGGCGTAACAAGTGTTGTTTCCGTTGTTGAACTGTTGTAGGCGAACTCTGCTAGCGGCAGCAGTTCAACCCAATCGTCTTGTTGATAGTTCACATAGCAACGAAGGTATGTCCCAACCACTTGATTCATGCGTTCATTTCCTCCATTTGTCTGAGGGTGGAAAGCTGTCGATAGCTTTCTCTTCGCACCCAAGCGCTCCGTGAGGGCTGTCCAGAACAATGAGGTGAAGAGTTTGTCTCTGTCTGAGACTATCTCTTCCGGTAGTCCATGCTTCGAGACTACTTCCTCGAGGAATGCGAATGCTAATTCCTTGGCTGTACTTGATTCTCTATATGGTACCAGAATCATATATTTCGTCAGCCTTTCCATGATAACCAGGATCGAATCGTACTCGACTCCTGTCATCGGATCCTTGGATTTCGGTAATTTCACAATGAAATCCCAAGAGATCGANCTTCCAAGGGGTTGGTGGTATCGGAGTAGTGCCCATCTGTCCATAAGGCGCATGGCGGGAAGCCTTGTTCCTAATACAGGTATCACACTCCGCTATCACTTCCTTGACTACGGCGGCTACCCTGTCAACGTGGTAGTACCGTCTAATTCTCTGGAGAGTTCGTCGAACTCCCTGATGTCCATGGGCTGTAGTGCCCATCTGTCCATAAGGTGCATGGCGGGAAGCCTTGTTCCTAATACAGGTATCACACTCCGCTATCACTTCCTTCACTACGGCGGCTACCCTGTCAACGTGGTAGTACCGTCTAATTCTCTGGAGAGTTCGTCGAACTCCCTGATGTCCATGGGCCGGTGCCGCATGGTA